GTAGCGTCGATTCACTACCTATACAGTTTTCCTTGCTCGTTCCGATGTCCCCAAGTTCTTCTCTATTTACGTATGGCCTAATTCCCGCAACACTAGCAGAGAATATCGGTGTTTAGCCCCAAGATGTTTTTCGCATGCTGTTAGAGCTTGTCTACAGATATACTCTGCCTCCTTGTACTTTCCATGATGGATCAGCTTCCGGGCTTCGTCACAATCCTCCAGCAACCGTCCTCTCCGCAGCTGTGACAAAAGTTGATGCTGAAGCTTTGCTTCATCATCCCTTTTTTGGCAGGTCAGGATATCCGCTAGAGTTTCTCTCGCTAAAAGCGCGCCATCGGTTGAATGCCAAAGCTTCTCTCGGTATACCATCAGCAACTCTGTACACAACGATTCCGCCTCTTCAAACTTCCCTTGAGAACGCAGCACTGACGCTAGATCTCCTCTGAATGAAAGTAAAAGCTCAGTATCGCTTTCAGGAGTACTTTTGTACCCCTCTAGTATATCTTTGTATACATTTTCTGCCTCTGTAAGCTCCCCGCGCTCTACAAGCATAGTCGCCAAGTCACTCGCGACTTCAAGCGTTGATGGATCATAATATCCATACATCTTCTTTCGCCACTCTAGACATCTCTTGTACAAATTTTCTGCCTCTGCTGACTTTCCTAGTCGCTCTTTGACGTGTGCTAACTGCTTTATAGTTGAGATTCTTTCTTCGTGCTCGTCGTCAACCAAAGTCTCTTGTATCCCCAGCGCCGGCCTGTATAATATTTCTGCCTCGCCGTACCTCTCTTGTTCGTACAGTAGATCTGCTACGCTTTTGAGACCGAATAAACCGGCCCAGGGCTCTGTGTCAAGAACTATCATATTCCTCCCTAGTGTCCGTAAACGGCCTTCTTCAGCTCCCCAGAAATCGATATACTTCTGATAAGCTGTCTCTTGTTCTGACTCGCTTCTCACTGTGTTGTAATGCCCTGGTCCGAAGATTTCCATGCTAGTCACTACCAAGTGCGCATACAGCCTTTCCACGTCCCCCCAGGCTCCTGAGTAGATTAGCGTCTCCGCTAGGGCGGCCCAGTTAGTCAATCTATCTGAATATTTAACTTCCTCCAGAGCATTTTCCACAGCGGGATCAGATAGTATAGAATCTTGGTGCTCAATACCGCTATCAGCCTCAATTTCTAAAAGCTGGGTATCAGCGTGCAGAAGGTCCCCGGATTCATCTACTTCTTTTTCCTGTATTGATCTTTCTAAATCATCACGGTCACTCGAAAATATCAAAGCCGAGAGTTTCGAAGCAAATGTCCGCTTACTCTTTGTCTCCTCCATGGCGGCGTTCGAGTCATTGTTGGCATCAGTCGAAGCACCAATAGGAATGGCAAAAGGTGCAAGTTTTTCAAGATGGCCAGCGAGATGACGTTTGAAGACTGTTGGAGTAACAGCAAGAATTCCTGCAGGTACTAATCCGCTCGTTTGGGTGGCTTGCTCTTCCAAACGGGCAGACCAATCGAAGCAGCAGGGACAATCGGTTGCTGGTATCTGGGCTAGTGGCTTTCGAGATAGGTCTATTACTGTTTGTTTCCCACCATTGTATAAGACCTCTCCATCAACACCAACTTCGAGTTTTTCAGAATAGGTGTAATTTTAGCTCATTATATACAAATCCATCCCAAGAAATCGATTGCAACTAGTGCTAAGT